AAATCAATACTTATCTCTATCTATCTAACAGCATTCCCTCCCCTCCCCTCCCGCCCCCGTAACCAACAAAGAAAATTTCCTTCTATAGATAAACCTTTACTTAACTTTTACAATAATGGACTAATACAATATTTGTCCTTTTGTGATTGACTTATTTCACACAGCATAATGTCCTCCAAGTTCATCCACGTTATGCGGTGTTTTGCAGATTCTACATTATTTTTTAGTGTTACATAGTATTCCATTGTGTGTATGTACCATAGTTTGGTTATCCATTCCTCAGTTGATTCCTCAGTGGACACCTAGGTTGTTTCCATCTTTTGGCTATTGTAAATAGTGCTGCGATGAACAACATGGGTGTGCATATATCTGTTCTTGTCATGGCTCTCACTTCTTTAGGGTATATACCTAGTAATGGAATGGCTGGGTCAAACGGTATTTCTACTTCCAACTTTTGAAGGAATTGCCATACTGCTTTCCACAATGGTTGTACCATTTTACAGTCCCACCAGCAGTGCATGAGAGTCCCAATCTCTCCACAACCTTGCCAGCATTTGTTATTTTCTGTCTTTTTGAACTTTGCTTGATTTTTTTCTTATATATATTTGATATCTCATATTAAATCCTCCTGAAAAATTATATCTTACTCATGAAAAGAGTCAAGAGTCCCTGAGTGATGCAAATGGTAAACACTCAACTGCTAGTCAAAAGGTTGACAGTTTGAACCCACGCAGAAGCACATCAGAAGACAGGCCTGGCAATCTGCTTCTGGAAGGTCACAGCCTTGAAAATCCTGTGGAGCAGTTGTACTCTGACTCACATAGGGTTTCCATGAGTCAGAATTAATTCAACAGCAACTAACAACAACAACAACACCAGGACAGTAACAAATTTTAGATAGCTGGATCATTAAGACATACCATGCTTTTCTGGAAGAAGAGCCAAGGAGGTTGTTTTTGCATATGCTCTGAGCACATTGGGGGTTTGCAGACCACTGCTGAATGAAAAAAAAATCCTATAATATAGAACCAAAAAAACTGCCCTCGAGTCAGATCCGACTCATAGCAACCCCTGCTTGAGCTTCCGAGGCGCTATGGAAGTAGATTGCCCAACCTTACTTCTGAGGAGTGGCTGGTGGGTTTGAACCACCAGCCTTCTGATTAGCAGTCAAATGCCTTAGCACTACACCACCAGAGCTGCTCATAATATAGAAGAAAAGGGAAACAAAGTAAGACTGTTCCTCCAGAGACCATTAAAGCAATGAATATTTCAGATAGATTTTTTTTTTTTTTTTTTCCCTTCAAGTTTTATCCTATAAATAAGAGATCTCAGGAGAATTACTGTTTCATCTGCAGGCTTGGCAAGCAGTAATCAATTGTTTCCTAAGAACTTTGTTCCTTGAAGAAGAGGTGCTTAATGTGATGTTTCTCATGCTAATGGTAACTGGCAAAATGCCATCATTGGATTAGGCCAATGCTGTGGAGAAGTGAGAATTAGAAGTGTGAATTTAATTTGAGCGTGCTTGGTTAATTTAAGGGCAGACCCTGGTGGATATTATTTTTACTCCATTTCCTTTATTTCCCATTTCTGGACCCAAAGACAATTTTAATATGATTCTTTGGTAATTAAAGTATGGTAACCCATACATTTTTCTCCCTTTTCAAAAGACTACCACGTGAGTTTTTATCTTTGCCTTTTATGCAGGTGAAGAGAGTTATGGGTTGTTCAATTATATTGCAATATCATGGAGCTCCTTCCATCTTCCCAATAATTTGGTTATCTACAGCCAATGTAGAAACAAAAAAAACCAAACTCACTGCCATCCAGTTGATCCTGACTTACAGCGACCACTTTTGGGTTTCTGAGGTGGTAAATCTTTACAGAAGTAGATTGCCCTGTCTTCCTTCCCCAGAGTGGCTGGTGGGTTCGAACCACCAACCTTCTGGCTGGCAGTCAAATGCCTTAGGCACTATGCCACCAGAGCTCCATATAGCCAATGTAGAAACGTTTTTTAATTGCCATGATCAGTCAATACTCTGAGTGCTGGAGTAGCAGAAGTTAGTTGGCTAAGCTGAAATTACATTCACTGAATAAAAAATGAGCTCCAGTTCACTAAAGATTACCTCATCTACCAAAGTTCCATTAGCTTTGTTAACTAGATAAGAGTTCCTCTGAAGGTCAGAAGATGCCACAGACACATGCATGGGCCCTGCCCTGTTGATCTAGCACTTACACATTGATGGCATCAACTGGTTTTGCAGCAAGATTTT